TAGTTTTCCGAGCACGTTTGTTAGTTTTTATTAGTTTTATTTTTTTTTCAAAAATTCTTTGTTTAGTTTGTATTGGTTTTAGTATTAGTTTTAGTTTTTTATTTTTTTTTATCTTTACAAGGTAAAAAAAAACACCACAGTATTTTTTTAATAAAAGCTCAACAGAAATGTTATTTTAAAACACTTTACAAACCAGTAATCATATATATATATATATATATATATATATATATATATATATATATATGTGTGTGTGTGTGTGTGTGTGTGTGTGTGTGTGTGTGAACTGAAGATGATCGACATATTGAATAATTATTGTTTTGTTCTTTTTTTTATTAACAAGAATAAGTCTATTTGAAATTGACAGTAATATTAGGTTTGTGTTATCTATTCTCCAGCGATGGCTCTTTTCCCTACGACTCTGTCCCCTGGCAACAAAACACTAACACTTGAGTCCTGGCCGCCGCAGTACATTCTGGGAGTCTTAACTCATATGTTGTGTCCGTCTGTGTGTGTGTGTGTGTGTGCGCATGTGTTGTCGTATTCGCAGCCCTGCTGTCGTCGTGGTGCGAGGAGCTGGCTCGTCTGCTCCTGGTGCGTCACCAGAAGAACAGGCAAAACGAATCGCAGGGAAAAGTGCCCATGCAGCCCAGCATGAACAGCATGAAGGCCGGCCTCACGCACAGGTCAGTGTTCATCCCCGAAGGTGGCACCAAATAAAAGGTTCACCTGCGCAATCCAATGAGATGGAAAATGTGCCTTTATAAACATCAGAATATTCACTTTTGAGTGACAATGGTCTTAAAAAAAATGTGTGGATTATTGTGATTGCACCAAGAGGTGTTCAGTTTAGGCAGTAGACGGAATACATTTGGCTGATGATTTATATTTGGATTCTATCAATCAATCACAATTGTGTCTTCGCGGTTGGAAAAAGGTTTTCAACTGCTACAAATTGTTTCGGGGGGGGGGGGCATGTGGCCACATCCAACAGTCTACTCAGTACCACGGGTCACTCGGCACGACGCATTCTTGCGAGGCAGCGCTTCGTACAATACACTCTGTGTAGGTGGCGCAGGCACACATCACCCCGAAAAACAATTAGTACTACCGCATTGAGAACTTCCTTGAGCATTGAAATAAATATCTTCAGAAGCAAACACTCCTGGTCTCGGGGTGTGCGTCACAAAAACCAGTTCGATAGAGTTTTTTGATGCACGGGGCGCAAAACGAATCAAGGGTGGTTGGATTTGAAAGTGGAACGATTCCATTTGGTTCGACTCAGCGGAGTTACGATTCGATTCGATGTGATTCGACTCTTTCAAGAGGGTATAATGTACTGATATAAGCTGTTTATCTCTGCTTTTTTTATTTTTTGACCGCAGCACCCAGCTTTATTGCGCTCCAAAATGGCAACCTCCAACCAAACCTTAAAAAAACTTTTAGTGGTCAAAGGCTGCTTTCTCACTGCGACCCTTACTTATTTTTTGCCAGCATTTCATACGATTTCCTCTTTAAAAATTGGACTGAATGATGAAAACGGACTCCACTTCATTGTGCTCTCTTCCAGGAAGGGCTTCATTAAACTATTCTGTTGAAGTCATTGCTCATGCAGTCTTCAAGGACACACAGGATTTGCATTTTTTGGAGTGCAAGGCAGAATTACTTTGAAGGGTGCTGAGCAGATTTAAGGAGGGGTTGGGACGAGGGGGGGGGACCAGCAGGGAAGACTTAAGTAATGTTTTTGGAGAACATTGTGTGCTCATGACACTCAATCAAACAGGAGGGTTGAAGTAAAACACACATAAAAAGAAAAGAAAGACAGCCGGAGTTCACCAAGATTCCTGCTTGGAGTCTGAGAAGGATCTTTGTTGTAATATTGTTCCCGTTGGAGGAAATATTGAACATGTCATTCATCTCGAGCTCTAACCTCAGAGAGAAAACAAGCTCTCGTCCAAAAATAGCAGCTTCTCCTGCACCCTGCGCTTGGCCACTTGCCTCTCAACATCTGGTTGTTTATTGTAGGGAACCCGGTGCTCGGATTGTTTTAGATGGGAATGCCTGGCATTCCGAGCCATCGGGGCAAATCCGAGGCCTTTTTCAACAAGTCGTGTTGAGTTTTTTCATTTTTAAGGAAGGTGGTTGCATATCAGCACATATTCTGGAGCTGAGGCGTTTTTGTGAAAAGCAACTTTTCATTGCCCAACGCTTTTGGCACCACAA